GGGATCGATTGGGAGAGCCAAATAAACATTGGATAGGAAAATTAGAACAATATATTCGTGAGAGACCTACCCTAAGCAGTGAAATACCATACGTAAAGCCATGGTATTTTGTGAATTGGGAAGGAGCAATTCCACCAGAGGAAGATAGGATTTTTAAATTGAAGGAGGAAAGAAAGGGATGGGATCCTTTAGAATGTCTCCCTCCTCCTTATATTCCCCCTCCACAAGTAATACCAAATGCTCCAGTCTTAGAAGATGATCAAGGAGCAGAAGGGGGAGCTGAAGAACCACCTATAGCTGAAAGAACTCGAGGAAGAGAAAGGGAAAGAGAGAGAGAAAAAGAAAGAGAAATAGAAAAAGAAGAGAGGTTATATCCTTTGAGACAAGTCCCTCAAGGCATAAATACAGATGGGCAACCGGTGATGGGCTATGTAGCAGTAAATATCACAGCTACTGAACTGAGGGAATTTAAACAAAGAATGAAAAAAGTTCAAGAGGAACCCCAAGCAGTAGCTGAGGAATTCGCTGCCTTTTTGGGGCCCAATACATACACTTGGGATGAACTCCAGTACTCTCTGGGTTTTCTATTTACACCAGAAGAGAGGGATCTAATTCGGAAAGCTGCCATGAAATATTGGAAGGATCATCATCCAGGGGCAAATGATCCAGTTCCTGAGGTAAAGTTTCCATTGGAAAGACCGGACTGGGATAATAACGATCCTGTCCATAGGCAGCAAATGGATGATTTAAAACACATAATTATAGAAGGCATTCGAAACTGTGTGCCCCAAAGCAAAAATATCAGTAAGGCTTTTAATGTAAGACAGAAAAAGGAAGAATCTCCAGGGGAATATTTAGAGAGACTTAGAGAGCAGATGAGGAAATACGGAGGGATGAAGGAAGAAAGTGAAAATTTTAAACAGTTATTAAAGAGTCAGTTCGTGATAGGAGCATATGGAGATATACAAAGGAAGATACAGAAAATTGATGGATGGGGAGAAAAGAGTATAATGGATTTATTAGCAGAGGCGCAGAAGGTGTTTGTGAATCGTGATTTGCAAGAAAGGAGAGAGGATAAGAAAGTGTTATTGTCAGCAGTAGGAGAAATGATGGATAGAAAGTTAGGAGATCAGAAAGGACAGAGAAGAGAAATTGGGAAGGAAGGACAATGGAAAGGAAAAGGAAGAGGAAAAGGCAGGGGAGTGATGAGACAAGGCAGTAGGAACCAGTGTTTTAATTGTGGGAAGGAAGGGCATTTTGCAAGGAATTGTCCACAGCTAGCAAAAGAAAGGGAGAAGGAGCAGAAAGTGTATAGGCTAATCGATGAAGATGAAGAATAGGGGAGTCAGGGGCCCTTGACATTAAGGTTCCACCAAGAGCCCTTGATAAACATTCAAGTGGGACCCGAAAAACAGGAATCAGTGTTTTTAATAGACACCGGAGCTTCTAGGACATCTCTAATAAATATACCACAAGGCTGCCATTTAATTAATAGTACAATAAAAATTTCAGGGGTAGCCGGACAATCTTTTGAAGTCCCTCAAATAGAAGAAACAACTCTGAAATGGAAAAACTATGAAGCTAAGATCCAACCATTATACGTCCCAGCAGCTGGAGTAAACTTGCTAGGGAGGGACGTACTCCAACACTGGGGGTGGGGAATACAAATACTCAGGGAACAGATGTTAGTATTAACTTAACAGAATGAGAAAGAAATAACTCCGATAGTTTGGGCCACGAAAGGAAACCAGGGAAGATTGCAAGTAACCCCTATAAAGATTACTCTCAAAAACACGGAGCCCATAAGGCAGAAGCAATATGAGATTAGTTTAGAAGGTAGAAGAGGGTTAAAACCAGTGATAGAAGAATTAATACAGGATGGATTGTTGGAACCAGCCATGTCCCCATATAATTCTCCTATCTTAGCAGTTCAAAAACCTGATGGGAATTATCGCTTAGTAGCTGATTTGAGAAAAGTCAATCAAATAATTGTATCTCGACATCCTGTGGTTGCCAATCCTTACACATTATTGAGTAAAATTCCACCAGAGCATCAATTGTTTAGTGTAATTGACTTAAAGGATGCTTTTTGGGCTTGTCCACTCGATCCTAAATCCCGGGATGTGTTTGCATTCGAGTGGGAAGACCCGGACACAGGAAGAAAAAGTCAATTCAGATGGACAGTATTGCCCCAAAGGTATACTGAAAGTCCTAACTTATTTGGTCAGATCTTAGAACAAGTCCTGGAAAATTTTGAAAAAGATCCAAAATTATCTTTAATACAATATGTGGATGATTTGTTACTCTCAGGGGAAAAGAAACAGGATGTAGAGAAAGGAACAAATGACTTGCTGAATTATTTAGCATCTCAAGGACTGAGAGTGTCAAAAACCAAACTCCAGTATGTAGAAAGAGAGGTGAAATATTTAGGGCACTTGATAAGTAAAGGCAGCAGAAAAATCACTCCCTCTAGAATAGAGGGTATAATAACACAACCACTGCCAAAAGATAAAAAAGCCCTTAGAAAATTTTTGGGACTGGTAGGGTATTGTAGACAATGGATTGAAAATTATGCAGAAATAACAAAATCATTGTACTCAAAACTGATAGACTCTGAACCATGGGTAATCAAGTGGTCGGAGGAAGAGAAAGAGAAATTCCAGGAACTAAAAGAGAAGTTAGAAAAGGCCCCGGTCCTATCATTGCCAAACTTAGAAAAAACATTTCATCTTTTTGTTGCTGTAGAAAATGGAGTGGCAAAGGGAGTTCTAGCCCAGAAATGGGGAGGGTTAAAGAAACCTGTAGCATTCTTATCAAAACTAATGGATCCAGTAATAAGGGGGTGGCCGGTTTGTATTCAAGCCATCACAGCCACTGCCTTGCTAGTTCAAGAAAGTCGGAAGATAAGTTTTGGGGGGGCAATTGTAGCAAGTAGTCCACACCAAGTAAGGAATATTTTGAATCAACAAGCTCAAAAATGGATGACAAACTCTAGATTAATGAAATATGAAAGCATTTTACTAGAAGATCCAAGCCTAGTAATTGTGACTGAAGCTAATATAAACCCAGCTCAGTTTCTAAGTGGAGAAAGAGATTCCCAAGAAATAGAACATGATTGCTTAGAAGCAATAGACTATCAGACAAAGGTGAGGGATGATCTGAAAGAAACTCGAATAGAAGGATTAAGGACTTTGTTTATAGATGGGAGTTCCAGGGTGATAGAAGGGGAGCGAAGGAGTGCATATGCTATAGTAGAAGGAGAGTCATGGAAAACTGTGCTAGCTGAGAGATTACCAAATCAGTGGTCTGCTCAGACTTGTGAACTATATGCATTAAAAATGGCTCTGAAGGAATTGGGAAAGGAGGGTGGTAATATATACACAGACTCTATGTATGCTTTTGGAATAGCACATACTTTTGGAAAGATATGGAAAGAAAGAGGGCTGGTAAACAGTAAAGGGAAAGGATTAGCAAAAGAAGAATTGGTCACTGATATTTTAAAATATACCTCAGAGGTTAGCCATAATTCACGTAGAAGCACACCGAAAGGGGGAGGGATTTGAAATCTATGGCAACAATTTAGCAGACGAAAGAGCTAAGGAAGCAGGACTCATAGAAAAGGAAAAAGAAAAAGTTTTTATAATGATACCTGAAATAGAAAAACAAGGGATACCAAAGTTCTCCAAGGTAGAGGAAGAAGCAATGGGGAAGGAGGGGGCAGTTAAAAATGCAGATGGGGAATGGGTGTTGCCCGATGGTAGAAAGATGTTAAATAAACCGATCATGAAGAATCTGATCGAGAGGCTACATGAAGGGACACACTGGGGGGCACAGGCTTTAATAGATTTGATACAAAGAAAATATGTATGCAAAGGAATATACAGTTTGGCTTTACAAATGGTTAGAAAATGTGTGGTCTGTCTGAAAACAAACAAAGCAGCACTAAGAAAACAACCAATGGGGGGAAGGGAGTTGGCAATATGACCTTTTCAAAGAATTCAGATTGACTATACTGAATTACCAAAAGCAGGAAGGATGAGAAATTTGTTGGTCATCGTGGATCATTTAACCCGATGGGTAGAAGCTTTTCCATGTGTAAATGCAAATGCTAGCACCACGGTCAGAATATTGTTAGAAAATATAATACCCAGGTATGGTCTCCCTGAAGTAATAGATAGTGACCAGGGGACGCATTTTACAGCAAGGGTAGTGAAATTAATTAATGAGGCTGTGGGAATTAAGTGGGATTATCACACAGCTTGGCACCCCAGTAGCTCGGCTATTGTTGAAAGGGGGAATCAAAAATTAAAACAAACTTTGATTAAATTAATGGAAGAAACAAATTTACCCTGGAATAAATGCCCCCCCTTGGCCTTATTAAGGATACGAACACAACCACGTAAGGATATTGGATTGTCATCATTTGAACTCATGTTTGGAGTACCTTATATGGGGAAGGAGGGATTACCAAGAATTGAATTAAAAGATAAAATAATTAGAAAATATGTTCTTGAACTGTCCAGATGTTTTTCTCTCCTGCGACAGAAAGGCATTCTTGCCCAAACTCCACCCTTGGACTTTGCAGTACACCAATACAAAGCAGGACAGTGGGTGTTGATAAAAGCCTGGAGAGAGGAAAAACTAACTCCAACCTGGGAAGGACCTTACATTGTCTTGTTAACCACTGAGACATCTATCCGGACAGCTGAAAAAGGTTGGACCCATTACTCCCGAGTAAAAGGGCCCGTGCCAGCCCCAGAGGAGTGGAAGGTGGAATCTCACCAAGGAGATCCACTGAAGCTAAAGTTTCGAAGGACTTCATGGACTAACAGTCAATCTTCCTGACAGAAAGGGGGGTAATAGAGGAAAAAGGACTAAACTTTATATTTCTTTTTCTATCTAGAACCAAATGAAAACCAAGACCTCCCGCATGTGCTGATTTTGTGGGTATCTTTCTGGGTGTTGTGCTGCTCTCACTGTATTAATTGTGTTCAGTGTACAGGGTGAGATAAAGTGTGATATAAAGTTTTAGAAGATGTATTGGAACGTTACAAGGTGGTATGTCTGGGGAGGGGTTCTTATTATATTCTTAAAACCTGTCCAACCATTGGAGTCATGTAAGCAATGTGTAAAAATGACAAAGAGAGAGGGGAAAATTGAATACACAATGATATACCACACTATTATCCCTGAATGTTTACAGACTGACTTGACAGACTGCATTCAGAATGAAACACAATACAAGCGCTGTAACACTAGCACAGGGGTAGAATGTTATGACCCAAAAGCAATAGGACCAGTAACTGCAAAAATGTGGGTATATGCTTATAAAGGAGGGGAAAATGCATTTCAAATGTTCTCATTAAGCCAAATCAGACAAGGCTATATAGCTCATAATGAAACTAGGGGTGAAACTAGTGTGGGGGTGTGTTTTGATGCCTGCCAAGCTATTAATAATGGGCAAGGATCTGACAACTCATTTGGAGTAAAATGTAAAAATTTAGAGTGGGAAAGAAGTTATATGAAGGAAAGGAAATACTTATTCCAGGAAACAGCACCTACATTGAGTACGGGACATGTTGCTTTTGCTCCAAGCTATGATTACTGGTATACTACTATAAACCCAAATGAAAGGAATAGAGGACCAAAGGGAATGAATATCAGTATGGGAAATACCAGGACTGATTGCATTCAAGGAAAATGTAACCCCCTCTGTATATACACAAATCAGTCACTGGAAAAAGGAATCCAATATAGAGAATTTGGAATAGGAATAGATGGAATTGGAAAGGACCCATGGGGGTGGCTAATATTAAAAATAGAAACAACTAAGGTAAAACCAATACGCAAAAGTATATTTTGGTCATATTACCAGGAATTCGAAAAATTAGAATTACCTGAATTTCCTAAGAAAGCAGTAAATATGTTTGTGCAGATGGCTGAAGAAATTGCTAAGACTCTAACGGTGAGCAATTGTTTTGTGTGTGGAGGAACAAATATGGGAGAACAGTGGCCATGGGAAGCTCAAGAATTAAAACATGAGATTGTGGTAGAAATGTGGAAAAATAAGACTCTCAAATTCATAAAAGGAACAGAGGGAACTTGGGCATTAACCACAAATTTAGTGGGGAAAATATGTTATGAAAGGAAAAAGAAGAATAGGAAAGTTGCAGTAGGAGACATGATTTGCTTGGCTATATGGAATAATGGCAGTTGGTGGGGAGGAAGTGGAATATCAAAGAAGGAGACATTAAGTGAAATAACTGAGATGGCTTATTTGAAAGATCCTGAAAACGACACCCTGGACTGGGTAGCCCCCGAAGGTATGTATTGGATATGTGGAAAATATGCCTATGGGTATCTACCCAAGGGGTGGTATGGATCTTGCATCTTAGGGATAATAAAGCCAAGTTTTTTCCTCCTCCCCATCGAACGGAAACAATTGCTGGGACTAACTGTATATGATGATTTATCAGATAAGGTCCGAGCAAAAAGAGCCATACAGCCAAACAATGTAGAAATTGGAACTTGGAAGGATGATGATTGGACTCCAGAGAAGATCATCAAATATTATGGACCTGCTACTTGGGCGGAAGATGGTACTTTAGGTGCCAGAGAGCCCATCTATATCTTAAACAGGGTGATCCGGCTGCAAGCAGTACTTGAAATAATTACTAATGACACTATAAGTACTCTGACACATCTGGCTAAGGAAAGCGTAAAATCTCGAACCTACATCATGCAAAATCGTTTAGCCTTAGACTACTTATTAGCCCAAGAAGGAGGGGTATGTGGGAAATTTAATTTGAGTAATTGCTGTATTGAAGTGGATGAGAGTGGAAAAGTAGTAAAGGAAATTACAGACAAAATGATAAAATTAGCTCATGTCCCAGTTCAAACCTGGAGGGGACTGACCTTAGATGGAGTAAATAATTGGCTTGGAGGATGGTTTACAGACTGGAAGGAGTTAGCAAAATTTGCAATATTAGGATTCTTGGCTATTATGTTTTTTCCTTGTTTGATTCCTCTCATACAAACATTAATAAAACGAACAATGAAAAGCATGACTTTAATAACAACTTCAATAGAGAGTGGAAAGAAAGAAACAATGTTGGTAATGAGAATAGGAAGACAGGGGTTGAAAGAAGTAGATTCAGAATGTAAAAACTTGCTTCCACAGGAACCTAAAGAAAATATTGGGAGTTATGAATTGTTAAAAGTATAAAAGAATAAATTCAGGTGGAAAAGGAAAAGGGGGGATTGAAGGAAATAAAAAATTAAGGAAATAAAAGTTATTCTTTTAATAATTGTAGAAATAATTTAGAAATGTAATGCCATTATATGAAACTGTCTCTTTAGTACTAATGTAATGCTGTAACACAAATGTAACAATGCAATGCCAATATATGACCAAATGTTTACTATATCCTGCCTAAAAAAAAAAAAAAAATCTCCTGGACATAGGAAATTACACTTTGAGTGGAAATCCTACTATCAAAGAAGGGGATTTTAACCCAAAGTGAGAATTCCAGATAAACAAGATAACAGCAGATGGACGGAAGAGGTCAGGTTAACAAAGTACCACTTCAGAGAAAATCATTAAGATGAAAGAGATGTGACAATGCATTGTAGGGCTATAAAATGCAAAACCTGAAACCAGGTCGGGGTGCTCCTGGAATCCAATCCATAGGGAAGGATCCAGGGGGCCGCGTTTGCAAACGCCTCTCTCTCTCTTCTATTCTTTTTCTTTCTTATTCTGTTTATGTTATTTTCCAATAAACCTTTGTTTTGTTAATCAGACTTGTCTTCGTATTGTGAGTATAAAAATTTGGGGTTTTTACATCTCACAGCAAGATCTTGGGCTTGTTGGCGAATTTTTAAATATACGGCTACCACAAGGATTTGATTGCTTGCCAATGGATTTATTTAGGGCAGATCTGGTGGCTCCCGTGTCAACTAGCATCGGGACAACCTGTCCTCCCACCCTTATTTTAACAATGGGCTCTGGGCGTGGGGCGATAGAACCCTGTCCTCTTCAGTCTTCCCATTCCATGTCAGCTAAGCCGATCATGTTTTCTTCTCTTTCCTCTGTCTGATTGGGATAAACTGGATGCTCTCTTCCTTTGAAGCTCTTTCTGAAGCCTCTCTGGAAAGTCCCTCTAAATCCGCTTCCTCTTCCTCTTCCATACTGGCGAGATTGTCCCCTGGGTTGGCCATTCCTCTGGGGGCACTCCCTTTGCCAGTGTCCTTCTTGTTTACAGATGGCACACTGATTGGGTCCTAGGCATGTTCCTCCCAATGCCACGGCTAACATTTCAACTTTCTTTTTTTCTTTTTGATCTGATTTGCGTTCCTCCTCCCTGTCACGGTTACGGAACATATTGAAGCATTGAAATATTAGTGTTATCTGGTCCAGGAACCAACACCTCTCTTAGAGGGGCAATATTTTCTTCTGTTTTTTTTTTTCTGCCTTAGTCCTGGTTCGGCTAGAAACTGATGTCTTGCTTTCATTTTCAAATTTATTCAAGCTTTTATCTGTTTCTTGAAGGGATCCAGCTGTTGCTAATTTTCCTTCCTCACCGGCTTCTGGCTGAAATTGGGCTTCTCTTTCAGGCAGAGGGAGTGGAATTTGCTGATTTATTCTCCCTTCTTCTCTTCTAGGAACAGTAGGGGGGTGGTCTGGCAATTTCCTCCCTATCTTCCTGGCTGAAAATCTTAGCTTTTGTTTGAGGCTTGGCTTTTTGGCTTGCCAAATATATCTTTGCACACTCTATCTGACATTTTGCTAACCATCTCTGTTTTTCTGCAATGTTGATTTTCCATAGGGGTGCTGGTCCCAATAACCATTTCCAGTCACAATTTGATGAACCCGTGCAACGAGTTCGGGATTCGCCCATCCCATTTTTGGCCACCCTATGCCCAGGGCAGTCCACTCAGATTCACAGAATCTTTTTAACATGGCTGGATTTGGTTTTGGATCTCCATAATCCCTAGAAAAACCCTTTTTGAAATTCTTTAACATGCACTGGAGTGGCGTCTGGTCAACGCTCTCCTTTGACTTTTTCCCACCCATTTCTCTAATACACTACCATTGATCACTCAGCATGAGCTACAATGGTTTAACCTCCCACACAATCCTGCCTATTGAAGGCTTAAGGACGCCACCTTTGCCTTCTCAGGGGGTGATCAGTCCCCTCTTCCGATCCAAAAGGGATCAGGTTTCCCCTGTTTTACAATACTTGCCTGCAGGCGTTTTCCAGACTCCTTTGTTGATTTAAGATCTGTCTGTCACCCTCATGGATCCTCAGACTGGAATGCTTCCTGATGGGTTAATTCCCTTTCCTCCCGTCGAGTTCTCCTCGTAGTCAAGAGCTACGAAGCCGGCTTTGGAGCTGTCGTCGTTTAGGAGAGGGGGGGGCCACCAGGGCAATCCGTCTTGGAAGGTTAAATCCTTTTTCTTAAAAGCCCTTAAAAATGTCCCGGCGGAGAAGTCGCCATAAATCTTGTGGAAAAATAAAGCCTTAAAAAAATAAAGGACTTTTACGAAATTCCATGGCTTTTCAGTCTATTCCCTGGCACTTCAGTTTTGAGGCACATCAGCAAACAAGCTATGTATAAGCTTTGTACTGCACAGTATAAACTTTGAAAACTCGCCAGAGTACTCACCCTTACAATGATTATAACTTTTCTTTTTTCCTTAAGCTTGTTTTGATTTTCTTCATAAAAGATACTGAATGACCTGTATCTGAGCAAAGTATACAATGAATACACACAAACACATAAAGGACTTTTACGAAATTCCATGGGTGAAAGAGAGATCTTTATTTTTGCGCAAAAAGGTTCAGAAGTGATTTAACAATCAGCAAATTTCTGAACAAGGGGGAGGGTCTAAACTAAAGCTTTATAGGTTTCTTTCTCTCAGGAACAAAAGAAGCATAGATGGAATCTTACATTGTATATGGAATCTATTTTTGTGTAACATTCAGATAGTTTCTCACACGTTTAGGTCCATTTCTCATGGGAATATAATGAAGGCAGTTTTTTACTTTTATACAATGTTTCTAAATATGCATCAGGTCATTCATGTACTGTTAATACAGCTTTTGGCTAACACAGCTTTCTTTCAGAGATTATGCAGACACATGATTTTTGCTTTTAGTGATTTTTCATTATTATTATTATTATTATACTTTATTCTTCTTTATTCTATGTTATTCTATTTCTTTCCCACTTTACTCTCCTGCTAAAACCTGCTCCTTTTATAGCCACTCCTCTCTCTTCCCCCTCCTCCTTTTCTCTTCCGGGTGCATGGAAGTGCCGATCAGTGCTGTAACTGCATGCACTGATCCTGGGCTCTCAGCAGGACCCAGGCAACCCCTCGTGCAGTTGCAGCTGAATCTCTGCCTGAAGACTGCGTGAGGCTGCCTGCCACCCCCAATCAGCCGGAGCTGCGTGCGCTGATCCTGGGCTCTCAGCAGGATCCAGGCAATGCCTTGCGTAGTTCCAGCTGACTTTCCCACAAGTCTGTGCAGCACTGCTGCTTCACCTCATCTACTTTTACACTTTTTTTAACAGTGCTTTTCATCCCATCGTACGCATACCACCTGCCAGGTGCCTGCGTACCACCAGTGGTATGTGTAGCACTGGTTGAAAAGCCCTGTAATATACCTCTCAAATCATTTAATTATTCCAATTCTTTTCTCTCTTGCCAGTTCCACTTGTCTTCATAAATAAGGTGACTAGTGTTGCTTCTCCCCATTCTTACTGGCCCGTTTTGTCATTCCTCAAAGCTTTTCAGTCTATTCCCTGGCACTTCAGTTTTGAGGCACATCAGCAAACAAGCTATGTATAAGCTTTGTACTGCACAGTATAAACTTTGAAAACTCGCCAGAGTACTCACCCTTACAATGATTATAACTTTTCTTTTTTCCTTAAGCTTGTTTTGATTTTCTTCATAAAAGATACTGAATGACCTGTATCTGAGCAACGTATACAATGAATACACACAAACACATACTCAATTACTCCTAATACCTTGAGTTTCTACTTTCTATTATACCCGGTGATATGGTTGGTGGCAAGGGATTTTCAGACAGTAATCCAAAACACATGAAAATTACCAGGTTGCTTACTCAATGTCTTCCAAATGACTTCTATTTTTTGATAGATGAAGAAAATGGAATATTGTTGATTCCTCCAGAATTTCTGAGCAGACCTATGTTTGAGGGAATGGAAATCGTTGGTACCAAAGTACGGACAAATGGATTCCATTCACTGCTGGAAGATAGAAAGTAGTGGCGATACAGGACAATTGCTGGTGGCTAATAGCATTCTATGTGGCACAGTCTTGCCCTCCACCCCAATTTAATGTCCGAAGGAAGTCACTAAGTCTGCAAAGGATACTTCCTTCTCTGTGTGATTACATTAGGTTTTATTCCAATAGAAAGGCAATTGTGATAGATTAGGTGGAATAAAACATCCTGAATGTTTTATCTTAAAAAGGTTCTTTTAGAATGCAAATAATTTTATTTAAAATATTTTCTATTAGTTTTGCAAGATGAATTGAGTTAAAAGAATGTTTTCAGTTTGGACTGATCATCCCCCACTACTTTCTGCCAAGACTTTTCTAAAGTCATTCATGCTTTAATTATCTCCAGATTATAAACTGTACTATGTTCTACATAGGCATGGCCACCCAAATATTCAGAAATTGCAACTGGAACCAAATGTGGCAACTTTTCACCAGGTTGCACCAATTTTATTTGAATATTAAATGCAATGGTTGCCACTGTATCTCTGGTACTTATTCTGCATTCCCCAATTCTATGAAGTTTGATGGTCACCCATAAATTCTAATTCTTCAGTCATTATAGAATAGACTACCAACTAAGAATATTATATTGTATTTAGACAGTATACATAAATTTGTCACTTCAAGAAAGTGTTTGCTTCAAATTGAAGTCTTGCTTTTAATTGTTAACCTGTTATGATCAAGATTGTCTAGACTATTAAAGACTGTCAAATGTTTTTACTTAATTATTTTAAATTTATTTAAATACTAGCTGTACCTGGCCACGTGTTGCTGTGGCTCAGTCTGGTTAAATGGAAAAGAAAGAAAAGAGAAAGAGCACGTAGCCTGTGTTGCTTTTACGTCCAACAGATGGCACTGTTTTGAAAAAAAGCATGTTTTACCTGTCACAGGTGTGATATCTATATAATATAGGTATATAAAAACACGCGCATATTCGAATGCAACGTTGTGTCAAAATTTCAAAGCAATCGGTGAAGAACTTTCGGAGATTTAAGAGTTTGAGCAAACATTTACATTTTTATTTATATAGATTGGTAATTCTTTTTTGCCATTAGTTCCCCTCTAGGAACAGAGACATACATTTTTAAATAAATAAAAATTGCTTACGCATACAAAAAAACATCATACCACCAAAATGTGTAAAAAGATGGGTTTTATTATTTTTATGATCAAGCTTCAATTTTATTATAATATGCAAAAACTTAACCTTATAACCTTAAGAAATGCACACTCTAAGGTGAAAGCCAAAAAGAAATAATATCTTTATTATATGTTAAATTACAGCTATTTCTTTCTCAAATGAAATGCATTTCAAGTATTGCCTGCAGAAAAAAATGACATCTATATTTGCATATTAAAATAGATATATTTGGTTTTTTGTTTTGTTTTTTAAAAAGCATTCTTTTCATTCAAGGAGCAGACTGAAGCATACATATTATTATGAAACATATAAAGAATTTCAATTATAATGAAATATTTACCAATATTGTTTTAAATGACATGAGCAGCTATTTCTTCATGAAAAATTGGCACTCAAATATGGTATCAAAATACATATGAAAGTGATCACGATATTCTTCTAAGGATCCTATAGGGTTGTTATTGTTAGCTGTATCAATCTTGCAGGATAGGTCATTCATTATAACAACAGCTATCTGGGATATAATGTATTTTTTGTAACTATACTGATTGTTATTTCTTCATCTGTTTTCTATTTCCAAGGCTCATTTTTTTAAAGAGCTTTGGCACAAAAGTACTGCTCCTCTAGTTCCCAGCTAATTTTTTTTGAGAGGAGGGTCTTTAGGCATGCTATAAAACTACCGGTAGCGTTTCCACTTTAGAGGTAAGTAGATTTAGATTTTTCTGCTACTGGTTGCACACTCATTAGTAATACAGAAGGTAAAAAATGTAAGCTAGCCCCAAGTAAAAAAATCAGAATATGACATCTTAGATAATCCATACTTGGAAAAAAAAACCTTTTCAAATAAACATGTATTTACTGAATAGTTTACAAAATTTTATAGGATACGGTTCAACAGAAATAAGTCTGATTTACAAGGTCTTGTTATCAGTGGCAGAACCTTATTAAGTCAGACTTTCTTTTGAACCATTCCAATACAAATAATTTAAAAAGACAAAGATATGAAATCCAATTAGGAATGCTCATTCAAAATTACTATGATTTAAGATGAATTTACATAATGTATAAAACTGACATGCATCAGATCCACAGTAGTTGAAATATTGTGCTTGATTCCCTGTAGTTAGGACGGATCATCTTGAAGAATGCTTCTGTTTCATTACCCAGGTTTTTCTCTGTTTATATAAAAGTGTGGCAGGTTGCTTTGGAACCCAACTTAAATATTTCCTATTATTTATCTTGCCAAGGAAAGCAAGTTTTTAAACATCACAAAGGAAATGCATTTTACAAGCTTTATACACTTAAAAAAATTAAAATAGAATTTAAATAGAATTAACCCGTATATAGAAGCTTAAAATAATACATTTTTACTATTTACAAGCACCATTTACAATTTAGTAGCTCCAGCCAATGGTGCCAAGCTCATTGATTGATACCAAGACTGAATTGATAAGCTACTTGCATAGCTGTTTGTAACCTTTAAAACATTTGTTTAAAACATTCCAAATCATCACCTAGAATGCCTATTCAAGGGGAGGAAACCCTCACTTTTGATTCATTGATATATATAAAGCTACCTGGATTGTTTAAATCCAGTCTGTTTAGTATTTCTGAATGCACCCTATGATCTCTTTAACTAATATAGAGAATAGCCTTTTAAAACCCACAGATAAATGATATAGCCACTTTCTGTGCTTAATTTTCAAACCATTCAGCTTTTATCTTCATCATCTCCTGTTTGATCCATGGCAAGAGGGCTATATTTGCTCATCATAACCATAAATCAAGCAGCTTAGTACAGTCGTGACACTCTTTGCAAGTATTTTTGATTAGCAATTAATTGAGCAAGTGAGATGTGCGTATTTTAAGAATCTCTTCCTTCGGTTATCCAAATATAAAAGAAAAATCTGAGTCGCTTGTGCCTTTTCTCTTTCCTGTTTCTGCTTCACATTCAAAGCTGTCCCACTGTGCTCATTTTGCGAAACACAACATCCTGCTTCAGAAACATCAAGCTTGAAATTTATCTTAGACTAAATTATGAATGGCAATTCTTTGTCAGCTTGAATAGCTGTCATTCTGTTTCATATTAATACAATAAGTTGTGCCTATCATTTTGTAAATCTCTTGAGGTTTCTCCCTGAAAGCTGCACCTTAACTTCCCAAAAATCCAAAAATTGTTATTATTTTTATAACATATTTTAAAGATAATTTTTATTAACTACTGATTGTTTCAAATGTATGGAATTTTCTCCAAGATTATTCCAACATTAATATGGTAAACATTTTCCAAATACAGCTTATAGAGTAACAAATACTTTCTTGCTTGCCAAATATATCCCTCCCAAATATATATAGAACCTCCACAAAGCACATACATTTGACTCCTTTTTTAAACATTAAGGTTTTTTGTTTGTTCAATATAGTATGTAGTAATTTTGCACTCCTAGATTTCTCCTATTGTGTGAGATTGCTTAATGAAATATTGCACCTGATCTTTCTACATTAGAATAAATATGGTTTTTGCTCTATAAACAAATTGCACCTGTTATTTGAAGAATGTACTTCCTTACAATCATATATAACTTTAGAACGTCTATTTATGTATATGGATCTCTTGGATGACATCCAATAAAACATATTCTAAAATAAAGTTGCATAGACATTGGCTTGTTCTTTTAATATCAATGGTAGAAAATATATTTGTTTGCTTTATTTCCTTTTGATCATGACAAAGTTTTTTTCAATCATTTCAAGACTAAATTTTGTTTTTCTCTATTTTCTTCCTTTCTTAATTTTTACAATTTTTTATGCCAAGCTTCCCTTGTCCCGTTTAGCCACATACCTTTATCATTCAACAATCTTATGTTTAATGCATCCATTTTTACTAATCTTATCTTTCCATTTCAAAACATTTGTTCCCCAACTAAAAGTGTCTGATGCTAGATAGCTCAATCCTCTTTCAAGACTCCCATTGTTGTGGAGGATGTGCTTACTGGGCCTGAAAGTGCTCCAATCAAGACTGGAAGACTGTGGTTTCTTCTCAAGCCCCCCATCAAATGGCTGCCTGCACTCACATACACTCCTGAGCCCTGTCTTTGGAGACAGCTACTTTTCCTCTGACTCTTTCTATAACCCCCTGCCTCGGGCTGTTTGACAGCTCTAGCAATCCCCAGTTTCTTTAGCCTCTCTACCAGATTGATCTTCAGCTGTCTTGCATCAGAAGGATTCGAGGGCTTTTGTCCATACAGCTCATGTAATAATGTTTCAGCTGGTCGAGAGGCCAAAAAGTTTTCAGATACATACGCTCGAGACTCAAAAGAGGGAGGAGAAGAACAAGGGGAATGCAAAGGAGAATTTGGAGGTGTTGAGGGCACAGCAGGTATCCTGGAATGATGAAGCAGTGGTGCTTCAAGTTGGACTGGACTGTTATAAACCGTGGCTGAGATGCCTCGTTCTTGTAAAAGCTTTGCTAAACTTCTAGTACTACTGAAGGTGGAAGTTGAATCTCTTCTGTTAGTAAGGAATTCTCCAGTACTAAGCTTATACAACATGGATGGAGCGCTTGTAATTACACTGCTTGTACTGCTACAACTTCCAGAGCACAAGGGAGAATACAAAGTGCTGGAAAACAAAACAAGAAGATAAAGCATCTTAATTATTGTGATTAATAACTTCTGTAGAAAGTGCAAAGGTAGGAGGGAAGGAGATATTCAGAATTCAAGGTCAGAACCTCTGTACCCTGCCAATTTTAGTTCTGCTTTACATTGTACATATCCTTGTTTTAACTGCTAATTTAATTAATATATAAAGTGTATCAAGTAGATGCTCAATTCCAGATTGCCTGCATATAACCAACTTTTAAGAGTAATAGTAAATCTCCTTACCTGGGTGTAACCTGTGTGATATCAGATGGATGAAGTATTCTACAAGTAGTAAAAGTAAATGTAGAGTTTGTAGATGAAAGACATTTTCCTGGATTGGAAGCTACAATGCAAATTATAACATATATGATGAAAAGGAAATGAGAAGCATACTAGCAGGCTAATGAAAATCTGAATTAATGCGTAATTTAGTAATTCAATGCAAATATATGAAAGAAAACATGATCTTCTACATTACTTTAAGTCATCTTTTTAACATGACGCCTAAGGCAGATAAATTATTACTCTTAAACTCAACATTTTGCTATTTTAGAATGGGCTACTTTGAATATGGCAACTAGGAAACAGTTGGAATATTCTTCCCCATTTGTTAATCATAGTTAAAAATGTGGAACATGTTCAAGCATTCTACAACTCTTCTTTGGTCCAAATTCCACTTTTGCAATTAATAGTGTTTAAGGATTTGTTCTGATTAATTTCAAAAGCTGGATCACTTCTATTTGTTAATGACAGATAGGTATCATGCCAAGGTCAGCTTTAACTGTAATTAAATCAAGTACAGATAGTCCTTGACTTATGATGACAATAGAGCCCAAACAGTTGTTTCCAAACAAGACAGTTGTTAAGTACATTTTGCCCCATTTTACGACCTTTTTTGCCACAGTTAAGTGAATCACTGCAGTAACATGGTGGTTAAGTGAATCTAGCTTTCCCGTTCACTTTGCTTGTCAGAAGGTCACAAAAGGAGATCACATGATCCTAGGATACTGCAACGGTTATAAATATGAGACAATTGCCACATGTCTGAATTTTGATCCCGTGACTACAGGCGTACTGTAATGGTTGCAAGTGTGAAAAATGATAAGTCACCTCTACACAAATATTTGTAAGTCAGGAACTACCTGTAGAGAGAAGTTGAGGAAGAAACCAATCTCATGGTCACACTGTAAAGTTACTATTATTTGAGCACTAGCTCAAAATTGTCTTTCTCAACATCTACTTTACTGTATTAGTCATTATTCTTGATTGAATATAAGGTTAATCTTTTACTGTTTCTTTCTACGAAAGTACCCATAAAATTACTTTCATCAATAAAATAGTGACTAAAACATGACTCAGACTTTAACATTTTCAAGTTTAATTATACATAAGCCTCTGTTATATTAATGGAAGAAAGTTACTGCAAGTAAGCTTGATCATTGAAAATGTCCGCCTAATTTGGCAGGAATCTTTCCAGCTCCTCCTCACACAACAGTGTACCCCATTCAAGAGGTTTTTGAATTCTCTCTCTCTCTCTCTCTCTCTCTCTCTGTGTGTGTGTGTGTATGTGTATCTTAAGAGAGTGGGAAGTATGTTTCTAGAGCCTCCCTTTTGCAAGTGGGATAGAATTCCACACATTTCTCAAGAATATATAGCTTCCTGTGAGAACTGAACTGCTTTAACAGGACTGATCACACACCATAAAAGAATAAGTAAAAATTGATCTTCAGCAGATCTACAACAGTTGGTGCTTAGAAAATTCAACAAAAATTGTAATGGTCATGCCACAAATTCTTACCTGCATGAGGAATTGTTGCTAATTTAGCAGGTGGGAGGAAAATTCCTGGCACTGACTTTGGCACTGTCTGTTTAATTTCCTCCTGTAAAGAGGGCTGTACTTGGAAAGTTATACCTTCATCCCTTTCTTCTTCATCTTCTTCCAAATCAGAAAGGTAATAAACATCTTCCTGAGACAGTGGTGCAAAATCTTTTGTGACAACGCCAGGGCGAGGGTCAAGAATTGTACCTAGGTTGGGCTGAGCCAGCTGTTGCCAATGAAATAGGGTCTGAGAGCCTGGAGAAGTACAAATCACAAAAGGCCTTCAAACACTCCATACGTCTTAATACTTGGCAGCCAATACTTGGCTGCTGCATATAATGCAAATTGATAGGATTTTGTAAAATAGTAGCAAATCTAGAAAGGACCTTTCCACTTGTGGATCCTTCAGATTTTAAATCAAAGAAGTTTTACTTTGAAGCAGAAAATTATAATTTGGGTTAAACCTTCACTCATTTATTTTCCTTCAGTGAATATTTAGATAGCATTTTAATGGACTAAACAAGAAGCCAAGTGGCGAAGATGCTTGCCTCCCACTCAAAAGGTTGAAAGTTTAATACTAAGTAGCAGCAGATGTTTCTCTCTCAAGACACAAACAGAAAATATCTACAGCAAACTCCATGCAGGCATCAGGAAGAGCATTGAGCCAGCAAATGCTCAGCTCCATTCCGTCACCCTGATTCTACCCCTAATTAAAGGATTACAGAGTCATAAAAAGAAAAAAAACAATGGACTAAACAGCAGCAATTTATTCACTTGTTAACAGTTTATTGTTTCTGTTCTATTATAAAAATGTCCTTGGGTGTGGATTATTTTCAGTAACTTAAGTTGAGGTGTGAGACACAGAGCTCTATAATAAGGATTAAAAGCTGAGGTAAGTCAGGCAAAGAAACCAAAAGGTGTAAAAGTGCATTCAATATAATACATATAATTTGGATGCAAAATAAGCAGAAAGAGAACCAAACATCCATTTGTGGGACAGCACAAGCTTATATCTGAAAGTAATCTGGGAGATAATGAATGATCAGGAACTAATCCTAAGGCCAGGATATAAAGTAGCCAATAACAGGCTCACAGTGAACTGTGATTGAAAACAGGACTGTGATTACCTTACCTTCAAGGGGTTTGACGATTTGCAATTTCTCTGGGAGAAGGGACCGCATGCTGCTAAAAGATCCAGAGAAATCAGCATGTTCTGAACTGCTATTCAGTGAAAGACAGTTCTCTACTGGTGTGCTACAGCCAGTGAGTTCTTCCTTTTGGTCAGCCAGCAAAAGTATCTTACGCTTCCATTCTTCTTCAAAAAACCATTTTTCACTTAGATAATTCTGACAACGGAGATTAAGTTTATGTAAAGCAGTGGCTACATCATCTTCTGAAGGGATACCTGCATGGCTTAGCTTCTGAGTTTCCCTATCAAAATAGAGAATTAAATATTGCATTAATAGGACATAAACTGGTATTGTCTAATTTTAGCACAATTTTTGTTTTTGTAGATGAAGCATTTATAATGTTACATGTTGCTGGAGGCAATACTACTACTATGACTAATAATAATGTGCTCCTCTGGTAGCTGCTGTAAGTGATTTGTGCTAAGCTCCATCCTGCCCCAGTTGTCTCCTAACTGTGTTGTCTCCACCCACAGTGAAGAGAGTTGGGTGAAAACTCCATGAAGGAAATCTGTGTAACAGAAGTAAAGCTACCTTTTCTTTGATGTTATTATACTACTTGCCTGATGCCAAAATGCTGTCCACGGCAGGTGTAACATTAAATTACTGATAGGAAAAATGGTTATATGCAGCCTCCTACTTGATAGTCCTCAACACGTACGTTGAATAAAGCGTAAGAAAAAAGCAGAATTTGGCTTAAAAATTGCTGTCAATTCCCCCCTCCCCCCCCCATAAAAAGGCAGTTGTGCCGAATATAACATAGTCAACTAAAGCTCAAACACTACTGTTTCCTTACTTGGAAACATCCTCTGTGCTGGCCTTTAGAGCTTGAGGTCCTTTTCCTTCCACATATTGCAAGCCAGAATGAAAAGGCTTTGCTGTCATGACAACACTTGAACGATTGGATCCTGGAATGGACAGTGAAACGGGACACGAAGCAGAACGGCCACGCATATCATTAGCAAGTTTAACAGTATCAAATATACGTTTCTGTTGAATCCTAGGGAAAAAGGGAAAGTGACAATGAATACAAAAATCTCATCTGGGTAATAAAAACATCACCCCAGTTGCTGAAACAACACTCATATCAGAAGAGATGGACCAGAAATTGGTTGGGTGATACCAAATATCCTGCAGGCTTTTGAAAGCAGAACAGGAGCAATGCATACAAAGTGATGCATGTATTTCTCCTTTCACGGTCTCATTTTGATAGGCAGGCTTTATCTCACCCATTTGTTTACACTATGGGAGTTACAGCAACAAATGCACTTTGTGCACTGAGAGATAATGGGTCCTATGTGGGAGGGATTGGATCCACTTTTAACTTTTTTAAGCTAACCTGTGAACTGAGAAGTAGCTGTGTAATATATCCACATGCCAAGAAACCTTAAGGAAATTATTGCAAATGTTCTCCTAATATGCAGTAAAAGATACAAAAAATGACTTCACAATTTTCTAATGGAATTCACATAGAGGGCAATTAGCTTATATGCCTGAAAAAAAGTTGTGAAAATAAAAATGTAGCTGGTAGTTTTTCTAATGAAAGAAAACTATCTTAAAATACTATGGAATAATCTTTCAGAATTTAGCATGAAATAAACATAAAATTCCTGAAACGTTAGTCAAGGATTTAATTTTAGCTTGCATTCATTAGAGTGTAATTAATAAATTGCGTTAATAGCTTTAAAATACTTGAATGTATCTATAAAATTACATACATACAAATATAATATAATATATATTACTATAAAATAATAAAGGTTATCTATATGGAACTATATCAACTTCTCTTAATATTATACTAATAGCAGGGGAAAAGTCCTACAAGAGAACCCGCAAAACAGGTTAAGGGGAAAAAAACAAGAACTGCACTTACTTTTGTTTAGACAGCGATTCCTCATCCAAACTTAGAACTTTCCGCATTGTTCCCTCAATTTCTGCTGCCAGAGATTCCTTCAAATGTAAGACAGTGGGAATTAACAAGTTTCTTAAGCTCTGTTTACAAAATAATTAAAGAGCTACAACAATTATTACTTCTTTCGAGGAATCTCCAATTAGGACAAAATAAGTACCTAATTTGGAATAATTAGGAAATCAGTACATTCACATCCAAAAGTTTCCTCATCCTCATCCTCATATTACTAAATATGTTAACAAAATGTAAAGGGTGCCAAAGTAATTGACAATTATAATTCAGAACAAAGACATTTTTAAAGGGATATTTATTGTATTCTCATTAAAAAATGAAGTACAACAGGAACCAGTAGCTTTATTAAAAACCATTCAGAAGTGATTTTGACAGCCTGTCTGCAGCACCACTTTGGCAATTCATTGCTTAATTTCTATAGTACAGTCATATTGAGTTTTTTTCTGCAACAATGAAAGAATGAGGTAATTCCTAGTATCCACAAGAGCTGACTGTTCATTAGGATGACATTCTTGACATAAGCCTATCCCTGCCAGGCAGGCGTGGAATGTCATGGCACACTGAGAAAAGGAGCAGGCTTTTGCCACTGTAATGCTACTGATGTTATTCTGACTGTTCTGCTTAAGAGTAAATTTGCTGTTTAATCTATTTATGTAGCAAGAAAATATTTTATACAATATTTCTTTACAATAAATGCTTAAAGTATTTAGTTCTAAGCCAAAAGAAATCAGCAGGTATTACAAGAGGATAACTACATAGAAAAATTGCAACTGATGTTAATATACATGAGGAAATGTAATTTTTCTAGTTTTTTATGACTTATATCAAAATGTACATGTTCTAATGTCATGGCAAACCTATGTTCAAATAAAACAGCTTCCAAAGACTAGTGTGTTCCCTATATTTTTTTTTCTTAAAAGGGGAAAAATCAGCAAAAATAATAAGTCATCTTTAATAAGAAGACAATCAAAGATCTGCCCAAGGAATCTGTTCCTTCCATTTCCCTCAGAATTCAGAAACTGACACATAACAGAAAAAGAAACTGCTTGAGAAGTTTAGAGGAGACTCTTTTATGAGAGTAAAGTCAGAAAGAGGTGGTGGACACAAATCTTAGTTTCAACTCTAGCACAAGCAGCCGTAGTGTTTCTTCCAACTCATAACAATAAAATCAAGAGAGAAAGTAGCATTAAACAAGAAGAGTGTCAGGCCTTGTTCAATACAGCATTGCCTTCTTTGTTCTCCAAATGAAACAAATCACTCAGCCCATATGGAAAAAAGTAGGATGTAGATAAAGAAGCTAAATTTAGAAGGGATCACTGGTGTCAACTTTCTCTTCCGAAGAACAGTTTGAGTTTGCCCTTGAAATTTTATTGGCAGGATGAAAGAGCTTAACTAATGAAATCTGCTACAGTCAGAAAGCTTATATTACCACAGGAAACGTTCCACACAACTGGGGTCGACAGTGAAGGGCAGCTTGGCTTGTTTTACTGCGCAATCCTTTCACTTCTTCTTGGGACTCATGCAGCATCCCCAGACATTCCACATTCCGCTCTTGCACTTCATGTAACTTACAAGAATGTAAAAGGTCAATCATTTACTCAGCCATGAGAACATTAACTTAACAAATGTCTCACGTAACAACAGAAATTTTGGGGGACAATTGTATATAATAAACACAAGATAACCAATTACAATTAGAAAATGACAATTGTGCTAATGAAAGACTTAGTTTGCTGAAATATGTTGGCAGCTGTTAAAAACCTAAGATAAAATAAATGCTATGTAAATTATTATAGTATCCCCCCCCCCACTTCCAAAAAAGCCAACAGCCAGCATCGCACAGGGGCTTTATCTTTTCTCCAGAGATTTCTTTTCTGCTGGAATAGAATTGGGGGGAGCACAAGGAGCTGCCAGAGAGAAGAGGAATCTATTCTGGTAAAACTAGGAATGATAACATTGGATGCAATCTTAATTTTTAAGTAGTGCTTTAAATTTATTTGCATGTAATATATAAGGCCAGAAACCTATCATTACTATATAAAATATTAGGTCTATGTGCCAGATTCATGGCATAAAGTATACATTGGCCGCAGTCTCTTGAAGGCTTAATGCGGCCTTAAGATCCACCAAGGTCTTCTGGCTATACTTCAGGGACAACCAAAAGCCTAGTGATAGAGGAGCAACATAACAATTCTGCAGAAGTCTGGTGTTACCAACCCAGTGAATTCTGCCTCAACACAAACATATACAGAATTGCACCATGAACCATTTGAAATACGTTTCATGGTTTCTTTCTCCTTCCAATGTTTCAGCCATAATATTCTGGCAGTGGGAAAAATATTTAAACAATGAATAAAAATTAATCTGGAATCTTTTTTAACAAATCTGTTTTTTCTTCCTATGTTAAACCAAAACAAAGTGAATGGCATCCAAATCAAAGCTGAAATTCTCTATCAATATTCAGGAAAAATCTGAATATTCTTAGGTAAATTATTTACATTTTATTCTTTTTCATATTTGTTCTCTATATCAAAAATGGGAAAGTAGATGGCATCAATACCTCTGCTGTCAGCTGTTTCTGGGCATCTTTAGAAGCTTGCAGATGCAGCTTCAATTCTTCTTTTTCGATTACATGCTGAGGGTATACAAAATATGATTATTTAATCCTATATGAACTCTGCTAGAGATATTAACTTCTTACTACAAGTAATGGTTTGACTTTCACCATTTCCCTTCTCTGAACTTTGTGCACATCTACCTCTTTGATCTTATGCTGAAGATCAACAATTTGAGATAAGAGGGATGAGATTTCCTCCTGGTAGTGAATCAGTTCTTCATCCTTCCTCATCAATTCTTCACTCATTCTTGCAATCTGAGCATTTGTTTCCTCTAAAATATATAGCAGGATACATGCTTTGTTAAGAAACCAGCAGTATATCATCCTTTCTGAAAAACAAACTCCTTAAAACCTTTCATACAATAGTTATTTTAAGCAAAATCCAAAAAAATGCAAACTAAATAACTGTGCCTGCTTGAATCGTAGGTCTTCACAACAAGGATTCTCCATTAAGCAAGTTTTTAAAGCCAGTCCAACACTCTGGTTTTAATACCCTGCTTAATAGCAAAGTTAATTTGCTATTAACTCAATTTGAAGGCTAGTGGATTCACAATTAATAACCATATTTAAAGGCTGGCAGATAAAAGGTATGGGGAATTGAACTTACACGTGAATTCACATATAAAGTTTTAAATTGGGGTATTTATTACCTGCTAATTATTTGAATTACAACCCCTTGCACTCAAGCAAGTATGACCAATTATGGGGGATGATATAAATTGCAAATTCAATTATATTCTGAAGGACCCTGAGATAATACTATCAAGCTACGAAGACCCTTTGTGTTAGAACTGCCATGATGTTTCTAGCTTGCTTACAGTTACAAGGGGTGAGGGAAGGGTTAAGGTTTGGAATTCACAGGTGGTTTGTATCAGTGTGAGAGTCAAGGTTACAGAAGAGATGTTTGGCCGAACAGAGGCTGTCTTCTCATAACAACCGTTGGAAGATTAATTGGACATTGTGACATGAACTATCAGAGAGGGGTGCGAAGGTTTTACTCTTTTAATTATCTTTTTCCCGACATATTGCCAGAGCTGGAATTCCTTTTACAGTACCGGTATGCTATGACTAATAAAGTTTTACATTAGAGGTTGCAATGTCTCTGGTGGATTTACTTTGTTGGGCTTTTCAGCCAGAACCATGACAACTGCCTTTTAAAGGACCAAATGAAGTTAAGAATAGTACAGAGCTCAAACCTGGAGGTATGCAGGTGAACTGAATTTGTATATTCTTTGTGGAAGACATGATTAAAATACTCACTTATTTCTTTAACACAATCAGTGACTAGCTGATGCTCCTTATCTTCGTATGTCATGGTTTCAGTCTTCAGATGGCATGCCTTCAAAAATTTATGAGTTTCATTAATTTTATGAGGAACACTATCTATAATGTATTATTTTTTCCCATTCTCTGTATAACAAAATGTTCACTCTGGAATATATTTAATGTTAGGGGAGTATTTACAATCCAGCTCCAATAGAAGGTTCTTCAGAAGGATCTCCAACATTCTGAGGGAGAGAGGAATATTTCCACTAATGGATGTAATTGCATCTACACCACTGGATATAGCCCTACATTAGAATTACAAATACGATAATCCATTGTTTCATTTAAACTCGTATCTAAAAACATAAGACTTGCTAAGATCAAATATGTAATTAGATAAGTGTCCAGAACAAATAATTCCAAAAGTAAAATATCCGAGTTCACTGCATAAGAATCTGTTTGTCTGAAATCAAATAAAGTCACCAGTATCAGTTAGAAGCATCAAAACTTTCATAACTAAGTACCCCCAAAAAAATTTTCACTGGATATACATCTTTCTTACAAAATAGTAATCATGATTCAGCAATAGGAACCTTCCTCATGTGAACAACATATGGTTAAATAATCAGTCATAAGTTGAGGACTACCTATACTAAATTTTCTAAATATAAAGTATATGACTTCACCTGAAATCAAACCAAAGAATTAAATCATTGCTAATTTGGATATTCAATTTGATGATTTTCAAGCTTTCCAATCTGGGTTGAACCTGTTTTTTAAATCCTCGCTTATAAATCAATTAGGCAAATATAGCTGCCAGACTTCTGAATCAATAATCAAGGACTTTGGGGAATAAAAGAGCCTCAGTATTTGGTTGAAATTGATTTGCATGTTTCCTATTTATTTCCTGGATGTTGACTAGGGCCGTATCTGTCTGCTGTAGCTGCACCTATCTGGAAAAAAAGTGAGTGAACATAAGCAGAACCAGGGAAGACATTATGGTCTTGAGATACACCATAGAGAAGTAGGGCACGCACCGAGACAGATGGAATTAATACCTCTACAAATATCTCTAGTAGAGTTATTCCACTGATTTGTAAAAGGAAATTACAATACTGCTAATTTTATTTTCAATTTCTAATGCCCCAAATAAAAGAATTCACATTTTTTATACAGCCACAGTGTAGAAAAGTTTTCACTGAGCATCCACACTGTCAGCTTACATTTCTGTTTTGGTCAGTCTCTGTCATCTCAGGTCTCACAGCATCCATGTAAAATTAGAATTGCTTTTGGGTCATTTGCATCTACATTGCATTCTGATGTCCATTTCTTCAGTTTGGAAATACCCTTTGGGAGCTTTTTGCTGTCCTTTTTTGATTGAACAATCCTACTCATCACTTTTTCCATAAGCATGACCTTAGCCATGTTAATATATCCTTTTTTTAATGCTTGAATTTAATTCAATTAATAATTCCCAACAGGATGTAAGTTACCTTTGTTCGAAGTAATAGGTTTTCCTCTTCCAGTTCCCTGAGTTTATCTTGCAAGATATCCAACTGTAAGAAACCTTGTGACAAGTTGAAGGACTCATTGAAACGAAGTGGTGTGGAACAGCTAGAATCAGTCTCACTTTCTTCAGAAGCAGTGGATACCACACGAAGCAGTTCATCTTTTTTTGTTAGTTCATGTTGTAGCTGGTGAATCTGATTTTAAAGCATTTTTGTTTAGTAAACATAACCATTTACTCAAAACAATGCAATTTATGCTAATGAATCAACAGACAAGTTAAAATACAATTGGACTGCTATCTCCATTACCACTTCTTTAGAAAATGCTAATCGCCCCCCACTTTTTAAAAAAATAGTATTAAATATGGATTTGCTCCAAATTACATTTTTATGAAAAGTCTTAGAAATATTAATGGAAGATAACTTTGTTTATTCCATGTTCCAAGTATCATATTTTCTTTCCTGAACTGTCATTATCTAAAATTCAATAATGTGAAAATACATCAATTTTCCTTGACAGAAGTCCCTTTTTTAAAGCCAATAGTTCTAAGGCTAAAGAAATATTTACCAATCTATCATCCAGTGTTTTTTTTTAATTCTAGGAAAATAAAGAACTATTTTCCATATTCATCAACTACCAGAATTCTTTATTCATAATGTGATATACATGGTCCAACTGCTTCTGTATGTAATAAGATTAAAACCATAGGTAAATTTTATTTATTTCAATTATATCTCCCTGGGACCTAAATTAAATGGGCACCAGTCCAAACATTCTATAGACCTAGGATTCACTAAAGTTGCTGAATCAAATGCTTTCAAATATATTCTTTGTTTTTTAACCCTTTTCTATTTTTAGGTAGAAGAATCATGAGAATTGTGAATTTTGAACATATAACTACTACACACGTCAAATATTAGACTCAAATTTTATTTTCTTTACATGGATTGTAATTCCTATTTTTACTCTCTATTTAGGATGCAGCACACATAAATAGTTTGAAACATGGTGCAAAAAAATAAGTACACAAGCAAGAGTTCAGCTGAAATATTCAGCTCTGCATAATACATATACGCTTCCACATTTGAAATAAATAAAATAGGCCTCAACGTTCTTCCATCTTTCTTCACTAAACAAAGACTGACTTGAAACTTTGTAGGAAAGAAAGCTTCTAACATCAATAGGTTGAAAGTTTTCATCTGATTTCCCATAAGCAGCTTTCATAGTTAATATAACTTCAATAGATGCTTAAATAATGAATTAACCTCTTAAAATCCCCAAAGCTTAAACCTGTTCACTTACTTTGTCAAAGGCTTGACCCAACTGATCCTCCAGAACATCATTTTGCTCAGTTAGGCTATGCTTTTGTCTAAGAAGGGCTTGTCCAATCCGTGCTGCTAGTTCTAGATCTCGATCTTTCTGCTCAGAAAACCATTAAAAACAGCATTATTGTCCCCCCGCAGAAGTTGTTCAAATGGTAGCATTTTCTTCATTTGTGCACATAAATGAAGAAAAGAGACAAGAGTTTTTGAGTTTGATAATGTTGTGGCACTTCAAAAAAAAAACCTCAGGAAAACATAGGATCTTTTTCAAATATTTGTCATTTGAGAACAGACAGAAACCAAAAGCAACATAAAAGCCATTGCTATGCATCAAACCCATGCATCAGCCCTTTAGGGGAAAAAATAATCTAGAATCAGCTGTACCACAAACACAAGTCATTTCCTTTCTTGAGATTTCTAATCTTCAACTTCCAAACTCTTGAGTTCTGTGGGTACCTTGGCTATATCTATTCCCCAATGTAAAAAGTTCCACCCAAATCTGGAGTTAAGCTGCCAGCCTATTACTGAATGGGAAGACACCCTCCCCCACCTTACGTAGAATCTGGATCAAGCATAAAGATTGACAACTAAACTTTTTAAAATAAACGGCTTTAGTTTTCCATTGTAAATGGGTTTTTATCAGTGTCCAAGTTGCTTTGGGGGATGTTCTAATATAAATCTGACTCTGGAATATCAACGAATTAATAATTAAAAACTCCCTTTTTACATCCCTTAATTCGGGGTAGAGTCTGGGCAATTGGATGGAGCTGAGCATTTACTGGCTGAATGCCCTTCCTCATGCCAGGAACTCACGCTGAGTTCCAAATGGCCGCTTTTGGGCCTGCACGCACAATCAGACGCTGGGGATGCAGCTGCAAACCCCTGGCCGTCAAAGATGAAGAATTCGGCCCGCAAGGACTCCCGAGCTGCAGCCACAGCCCCGGCAACAATAACACCACAAGAAGGTGCAGGGAAGCCTCCCTAATGCGCGCTGAATTTCAACCACCCCTTTTGGGCCCGTGCGCGCGATTAGGCACTGGAGCTGCAGCCGCAAGGGAAGGCAACCAAACAAACGTAAAAAAAAACTATTGCTGCCTCTAAGGAAGGCTCCCCAGAGGATTAGGAACAGCACTGATCTCAGCAGAGATCCAGGAGTAAGGGACGCTAAAGAGATGGAAAACGAAAGAGAAAGGCAAGAAATTTTTTTTTTTAAAAAAAAAGGTTTTACTGAGCCTCACTTTGTAGCTAAGGAGGGGTTGGAAAGGAACAGCAATCCAAACCCAGCGCTGAATACAGCGCTGTTCAGAAAACTGTGAAAAATGGAAAGATGAAAAAACCACCAATGGAGACTATACCTGCCTAAGAGCCAAACTTGCACGTCTGTCCTGGGCAAGATCAAGTCGAGACTGGGACCCTCTAGCTCAGGAGAGGCGTGGCAACTTTGGCTGACTTGATCTGATTGGGCAGGAACACAGTCTAAACTCATTGGTGGATTCTCCATCTCCTGTGCTGGAGAATTGAGGAGGACTGTTGGGGTTATAGATTAGTGTCAATATTGAAATGTATATAATTTTAGGCTAGCAAATAGAGAAATGACTTAAGTATTGTATAAAAAACCCACATGTATCTATAGAGTAAAAGAACTAAATGTAAGAAGAGAAATAACTTGACAGAAATGTTTATACTGGAATGTTACGTCATGTCCAATGTTTTCTTTTTTAACTGTATTGTAAATAAAAAACTTTTATACTCTATCTTTATTTGAAGATTACATTAACAGAATCTGCAAATCTCTCCTCTTGCCTTCTAATCCAAAAAATTAGAAAGAATCCCTTCTGAGACATTTGCCATGCCCCCATTCTTTCTGTGGAAGGAATGTTAGCTGTTTCTTAATTGATTGTTGGCTAGTCTGGGCTCTTTCTTCTGTCTCTCGAGGTCATTTCCAATCATTACAATAACAATGAGTTGGAAGAGACCTTTGAGGTCTTCTAGTCCAACCCCCTGCTCAAGGAGGAAACTCTATACCATTGCAGACAAATGGTTGTCCAGTCTCTTCTTAAAAAATTTGGTAGTTCAGGCTGTACTTTTTTGCTGACTTTATCTTACTAGTTCCTATTCTCCTAGAGCTTTGGGGCCAGTCATGAAAAAAAAAATGGTTCTACAGTTTTTGCTACTCTCAGGATCTATTCTGGGAAAAATAAAAACTGTGAACTGTTTTTCCCAGCCTGTATCCTACTCCACTGGCTATTGTTTCAGGTTTAAAATCAGGCTGAAATTTGGACTATAAAAGACCAGTGTTGTTCAGCAATGTCTCTACTATTTTTCTACCAGTAACACTTCATATGAGATTCTACCATATTTTAAGCCAAGTTTGGATCACATGAATCAGCGAAAGATTATGATGTTGGAACTTGAACACCCTAATAACATTACTAAAATGTCTATTCTTAAAATTATCCATTTCTTTCTAAAATTTAAAATATTTATTTCCAATTTGTAAAACTATGTTTAGTTATAAAACAACAATGACAATTTTACCTCAGCCAACAGATGAGTGATTACTTCAATATCATTGCAGTTTTTTGGTACATACTTTCCTCTATCTGTGCCAACAACTGAAAAACAAAACAATTTCTTAATGTGATTTAAACAAATGAAAATAATATACTCCCAACGATAACATACTTGAAAATGTACAAAAAATTGTGAAGACCAGTGATTAAAGAACAAGAGTAGGAAAAAAGATATTTAGACTTAATTGCATTATATTTTTGTGGAATAAATTCTAATTAAAGAAAATAAGGAAAACTTAGTTTTCATAGTAACAAAATACATTTTGGTATATAAAGGTCTGCATGTTCAAGTCATGAAGTATTATCTTTAATACAAGAATTGGACAACTTCATTCAATACTGTAAGGGCAATCTTCAAGTAGAAGCAGGACACTTCCTTGCAAGAAAACCTGTATTTTGTTTACTATTGTTACCTAAAACTGTGTTGTGGCAGCTTACTTATTCACAAACTGTCTATATCCAGCATTCAGCTACTCACAAATCAACTGTGTTCATCTTTCAGCTACCCAGAGAAAAGAGTAGGGCAGCCATTTCTCTTCTTCCCTCATCAATTGTTGCAGGAATAAGCAAGCAATACTTCCAAATGAAAAGAAAAGAAAAATTAGTAGAGCCAAGAGAACCAGTCTGATCTAGTGTTTAAGGAGCCAGGCTAGAAACCAGGAGTCTGTGAGTCCTATCTTAGGCAGAAAGCAAGCTGGGTGACCTTGGGCCAGTCACTCTTTCTCAGTCCTAGGAAACAGGCAAAAGGCAAACCGTCTCCAGAAATACTGTCAAGAAAACTGCAAGGACTATTCCAGACAGTCAGTAGAAGTCTAAAATTGATTTAAGGGCACACACACACACACACAAAAGTGTATGCAAAGATTGTCAGAACATGTTGCAGCATTTTGCTGAACATAGCTGATCTCAATAAGAGATGATAAAAGGGATACTGAGAATCTAAGGCAGGGGTGTCAAACTGCCGGCCCGTGGGCTGGTTTTATCATACTGGAGCCGTGCCCATCCCATTGCCAGCAATGGCGAAAAAGCTTTGATACGTCACACGACGTCGCGAGTTTGACATGCCTGATCTAAGGGGTTAGTACTTGGATGTAACATCACTAACAAGTCCTAGGCTGATGAGATGTAAGAAAGAAAAAAACATTCCTAAGGGATAGCAGTGGCAAGCTTATTTCTGTGTTATTTCAAAGAAAAATCCCAGGCTGGTGTACAGTAGTCATCAGACGTTTTGATTTTTTTAACTTTAGGCAAAAAATAAAGTAGCAAAAACACACAGAAAATGGCTTTCGGGTTTTTCTTCTCCAAATTTTTAATAATAATTCTGTTCTGGGTTAGGTGACTGAGGAGGAGAGGAAAGGATAGAGTAGAGAAGTCAGCAAAATTCTGAATCAGTCTTTCTTTTGCTCACTTCTATCCCTAAAGACAAAATTTAGTTCAATTCTCTTTAAAAGTTGGTGTTATCTAGCTAAAGGGCAAATAGTCAAGACAGGCAGATAGACACAGTCCCAATTTTCTTTACCGTACATAATTTTTTTCTTCTTCAGATTGGAAAGAAAAAAATGTAGCCAAGACTCAATTTATTATTCTACGCAGCAATACCCTCTGTACCACACAAACAGGAAACAGACATATGACAAATATTTTCTGTGGATATTTATATCCTAACAATTTACAAATTATTAGAGAAGAAGACAGACCAAATTATCAAAGTACCCATTTTTATTAAAAGGAAAGGTCAAAAACCTGCTCAGCTTAACCAGTAAATCAAAGATAGGAGAACCCAAGTTATCATATTTCTTAAGTAGTGTGCAGCAATATCAAACGTCCACTAAGAAAAATATCCAAAATTAAATTGCACAAGTATAAACACAAGGGTTCCTTCTACTTTCAGAAGTACGGTAACGTAGAAATCATTGAAGATTTCTGCACTGTAAACTAGATGTTCTTCTGTCCATCAGGAAGGAGAATCCATTTTAATACATATTGTTCCTCATTGTAGCAATCTGTGTTCCAAATGGTCTCTCAAACCTCTGAGAGATATTTTTAGTGGCAATAGATGTAAAGAAATAATAGAAAAAGGGGTAATCAGTGAAAATACTCTCCTTCTTACCATCTCTTGCCTATGCGAAGTTTACAGTATTTTACTTTACACAACTGTGTATTCAGTTGTGGATTGTATTCAGTTTTTCCTTATAGTCTAAGACAGAAAGACCTTATTAAAATCGCTTAGCTTTTGAAGAAGTTGAATCTCAGGACTTTCTGATTTGTAATCAGGTAGCAAACATCAAAAAATCCAAACTTCAGTTATAAACATATAAAAATGCATAGTTTTTATAAAGCTCTCAGATTTTCTGGAAAATCTAGTAAAGATATATATATGCTAATGTTTATGTGTACACTTACCTTGCAGAGTTATACCCATGAGTAGCTCTTCATTTTGGTTCACATCCCTTTTATCTAGGGCCATATCCATCTGACAACTTCTATACAAGTAGTTTGGAAGAACTGAATACAAGCTGAAGTAATGGCTAGCCCTTACTTTTTGTTCTGCAATACATATGCTACTGAACCTATAAGCAACACTCCCTAGTATTTATTCAGCTATCAGATAAACATTTCTCCAAGCAGAAGTATCATAAAATAGGAGGAGCTTTACTGCAATACTGGCTATTGCAGTTCTGAAATCAGAAGTCAACTAGTTTTCTAGTTTTGGAATTATAAAGGGCATTAAACGTGGAATATCACAATCATATTAGGAGTTTAGCTTCACTGACAAAACCATTTTTCTATTATAGATGTTAGCATACTAATGTAATACAATATTAGATGAATCCAATGTTTCAATCTGAAGTAGAAAAGTGCTTTGGTTCTAGCAAAAGCATAATTGCTAAATTTGCCAGCAGCTCCTTAAAGCTGCACTTTTTTATTTACTCAATATTGAATTTCACTTTACTGGGTTCACTGAAGGTTCAGTTCTAAAGAACAGAAAGTTGAACAAACCCACAATGCTGATCAAAAGTACAGATAATAAAAAGTTGTATAAGCCAATATTTAACCAACTGATACATTGTTTTTGAGTAACAGATAGTAGGAAGAGATTTTAATAGTCTTATTTTGTTGGGCTTGACATAGGCTGATGTTATTGCCTTATACATAATCTGCAATCAATGCCATTTTAACAACTCTGTTCACTGTTGTTTATTCCCATGTTCTTCAACAGTTCATTTAACAAGAGCAATGTTCATAGGACATTCCACTGTTTTTTAAATTTTGTTAGAAAAAGGACAACAGGCGACTACTTACATCCTTACTAGATTCTTCAATGCCTTCAACAATGGAAGAGCTTCTAATGTGCTAGAAAAGTTCTTAACAATTTAGGGAGATATTCAGAGATATATCTGCCTTGAGAGTAACCCTTATTGAACCATATAACACAGTCAAACATTAGCAGTTGACCACAGGAAATGTTTTATGGCATTTTGTATTATATCATAAAATGCTTTATCGTGATTTTTATGTCATAAAATGTTTTATAAAATTTGCCAAATTACAATTCCATGGGAGTGATGGATCCTGGATTTTGGAAACACTTGAGGCATTGGTTCAAAACATATTGCCCTATGATTCAGTTTCAGCCAGTTAAATGTTACAGACTTGAGAATTTTAGTAATGTATAAATAAATATCCAAGCTTCATTCTTTGTATCAATTTTGGAAAACATATAGTTCTCCAAATCTGGAGATACTTAAGTCCTTTTTGCAGGTTGATTGAATCTTTAATGCTTATATTTGTTTTGGGTTACTTACTCATATAATGGAGTGCCTCCTCAGCAAGGACAGGAGAAGAAATTTCAGGATCGTGACTATGAGAGCTTCTTGACTGGATCCAATCATCATTTACAGGAAGATATAAAGAATCCACATGTAATTTATACTGAGGCAGCTGTTCTTCTAGCATGCTCACTAGCTCTACTTCAGGAAGGTCTTCATTAGGGCAAACATCTAAAGATATATGCAGACAACATACTAGAGATCAACTTTGAAAGAAAACCATTGTTTTCTTTGTTAAATAAATGATTTTCAACATTGTAAAACAAATGAGTAATATTATCCATTCTGAACTAAGGCCAGTAAGAAATAGCACAAATCTTAAACATTTATTTCTATTAGAAATCAATTATCCCTAACTAAAAAAACCCCGCTATGGTTCTTATTTATTTATTAAAATTTATAGACTGCCCCACTCCCACAGGACTCCAGGCGGCTAACAATAAAAACACAATATAACTTAACAAAACAAACAATACAATTAACATTCATCCAGGGGTCAGATTTTATAAACCCCAGGCCTGCCGGAAAAGCCAGGTCTTAAGCAGCTTGAGGAAAACCAACAGGGTGGGAGCGGTCCTAATCTCTGGGGGGAGCTGGTTCCAAGACATGGGTGCCATCAAGAGAAAGCCCTCCCCCGCGACCCTGTCAAATGGCACTGCTTGGCCGATGGGATCTGAAGGAGGCCCAGCCTGTGGGATCTAACCGGATGAAGGGAACTATGAGGTAGTAGGCGGTCTCGCAAATAGCCTGGCCCTGAGCCATATAGAGCTTTAAAGGTAATAACCAACACCTTGAATTGGACCCGGAGGCCAATAGGCAACCAGTGTAGCTCACGGAGGATAGGTGTAACGTGGGTGTACCGAGGAACACCCACTATCACTCGCGCGGCTGCATTCTGGACCAACTGTAGTCTCCGAATACTTTTCAAGGGTAGCCCCATGTAGAGCGCGTTGCAGTAGTCCAGGCGTGAGGTGACAAGGGCATGAGTGACTGTAAGGAGAGCCTCCCGGTCCAGGTAGGGTCGCAACTGGTGCAACAGACGAACTTGCGCAAAGGTCCTCCCAGCCACAGCCGTCAAATGATGTTCCAATTTCGGCTGTGGATCAAGGAGGACACCCAAGTTGCGAACCCGCTCCGAAGGGAGTATATTTTCCCCTGCTAGAGTCAACACTGGACAGTTAACATGATCCTTGGGAGGCAACATCCAAAGCCACTCGGTCTTGTCAGGATTGAGCCTGAGTCTTTTAACTCCCATCCAGACCCTCACAGCTTCAAGGCAACGGCCCATCACATCAGCCGCTTCACTGAGAGAGTTCGGGGAAGAGATATATAGCTGGGTATCATCAGCATACTGATGAAACCTCACCCCATGCTATCTGATGATCTCATCCAGCGGCTTCATGTAAATGTTAAATAGGAGGGGGGAGAGGACCAACCCCTGCGGCACCCCGCATTCAAGAGGCCTCGGGGTTGACCTCTGCCCCCCCACCAGTACCGATTGCAACCGGCCAGAGAGGTAGGAGGAGAACCACCGTAAAACAGTGCCTCCCACTCCCACCCTTCCAAGTCGTCGCAAAAGGATACCATGATCGATGGTATCAAAAGCCGCTGAGAGGTCAAGTAGCACCAAGACAGAGGAATAACCCCTGTCTCGGGCCCGCCAGAGATCATCCATCAGCGCGACCAAAACAGTTTCTGTGCTGAAGCCGGGCCTGAAGCCAGATTGAAAAGGGTCTAGGTAATCCGCTTCATCCAGAGACCGTCGGAGCTGGAGCGCCACCACTCTCTCTACAACCTTCCCCAAAAAGGGGAGATTGGAGACTGGGCGGAAGTTATTTAAATCAGCCGGGTCCAGGGTAGGCTTCTTGAGAAGGGGCCTCATAACCGCTTCCTTCAAGGGTTGCGGGAAAGACCCCTCCCTCAACGAAGCATTGATCAACACCTGGAGCCAGCCTCGTGTCACCTCCTTGGCGGCCAAGACCAACCAGGAAGGACACGGGTCCAATAAACAAGTGGAGGCGCTCATTGCTCCCACCGCTCTGTCAACATCCTCAGCGGTCATAGACTCAAATTCATCCCATAAAACTGAGCTAAGACCTGCCCCGGTCATCTCAGAAGGCCCTGCCCAATCGGAGTCTAGGTCTGTCCGAATCCGAGCGATTTTGTCTGATAGAAACTGCACAAATTCTTCCGCCCTACCCTGTAAGGGCTCCCCGGCTTCCCAAATGTTAAGTAGGGAACGGGTCACCCTAAACAGGGTGGCGGGGCGAGATTCTGTAGACGCAATAAGTGCGGAAAAATGCGAACATTTTGCCGCTCGTATTGCCACTAAATAAGTCCTAATATAGGCTCTTAAAAGTGTCCGGTCGGGTTCGGAGTTACTAGACCTCCAGCGTCGCTCTAGACGTCTCTTCTGACGCTTCATCTCCCGTAGCTCCTCGGTAAACCAAGGTGCCCTCCGGGATCCACAATCACGGAGAGGTCGCAAAGGCGTGATCCGGTCTAACGCCTCTGATGCCGCCTTATTCCAAGCAGCAACCAAGGACTCAGCCAGTTCGTGGAGGAGGGAATCAGGAAAACCCCCAAGCGCTATTCAGAGCCCCTCCGGGTCCCTTAAACGCCTGGGGCGGAACCACCTAATCGGTTCCGCCTCCCTGCGGTGGGGGAGTAGGACCGAGAAATCTAACCTCACCAGGAAGTTATCCGACCATGACAAGGGAGAAGTAACTATACCCCTTAAATCGAAATCACGTCTCCATTGCCCTGAGAGGAATACCAAGTCGAGCGTGTGTCCTCCCCTATGGGTCGGACCCTGAATTATCTGGGTCAGGTCCATGATTGTCATGGAAGCCATGAACTCCTGAGCCACACTGATTTTAAGATGGATTTCTTTCTTAATCCAACTTTTATTAGTATTTTAATTTATCCTGCTGCTTTAGATACTTTTTTCCCCTCCCCAATTCTTTTTCTAATTTTTATATGATTTGCCTGCTTAAGCACTTTGGGAAAATTTACGTGCCATTTAATCAACCTTGAGTTTGGCCTAATAAAGGCATTGCTTCATTGTAAATTTGAGACAATTCTTAAGCTCAATATAAACTACTGAAGATTGTAGCCCTGAAGCAGTTATAATTTCCAAAACATCTACCAGCACCTTTTAATTAACTCATCAGCTTACCAGTGATGTTCTCTGAATTGCTGTGATTGAAATTCATGAGGGTTGCTTCAGGCTTCAATTCTTCGAAAACCACATCCTCTTTCCATTTTATATCTTGCTCCTTCTCATTTGAGTTGAATGATCATTTGGCAATATTCTAAGGCTGGCATTCATTTCATGTCAACTAGACAGACAGGATAATTTAGGCCAAAGGAAGATACATTTGAAGCTGCCAGTTTCACTATCTTTATATCACAATCTTGCCCAGTTCATTCACCATCTTGGGGGAAAAAAAGAGGAAAACAAGTGTTAAAATTCAATTTTAGACATTAATGTTAAACAATTCTTCTCCTAACTACTGCTAAATGAGTAACTATCTTTTCCCCATCTTAATCAAAGTAGGAGTTTACTAATTCATTTTCTGCCAATCTTTTTTCCTTTATCCTTGCATATGAAAATCTAGAATGAAAAAGAAAGAAACCTTAATATATAATGAAGTTAATATATATAGAAACTAACAACCAACTTCCCTTCCTGGATGTCTTAGTCTACAAGAAATCCAATGGCTCCCTAGGACACACCATCTACCAGAAGAAAACACACACAAACCACTATCTGCACGCTCTCTCACACCACCACCCAGCACAGATCAACTCTGTAGCCAAGACACTCATCTCCAGAACAAGACGCTTAGCTGACGAACAACACCTAAAACCCGAACTACACACTCTCACCAATGTACTAACATCCAATGGATTCCATAGAAATAAGATTACAAACCTAATCCAAAAAGAAACCCCCACTAAAATCCAAGACAAAGAACAAGAAAACGGCAAAGCCCTTCTCCCATACATAAAAGGCACCACAGACAGAATCAGTAAGATCCTCCATAAACACAACATCAAAACAGCATTCTGCACAAACAAAAAAATATCCACCATCCTTAGAAACCCCAAAGATAAAATTGAATTAGAAAATCAAGGAGTATACGAAATCCCATGCACCACTTGTCCCACCACATACATTGGACAAACCAACAGACGAATAAGTGCACGCATTGAAGAACATAAGAACTCAGTCAAAAAAGAGGAATCAACATCTTCCCTGGTCCAACACCTTAAAGCCACAGGACATGAAATTGACTTTAAAAATACCAGAACCATTGCCAAAAGTGAAAATTTTAATAACAGAATAATCAGAGAAGCCATCGAGATAGAAAAACGCCCACACAGCATGAACAAGCGAGATGATACCTCCCGCTTACCAGCCATTTGGAAACCCGCCCTTATTGACAAACGACTCCCTAACACAAAAAATGATACCAGACCCACACTCACAAAAACCACACAGGATGTCACCACCACACATCCACGCAAAAAACAAACCCAAAGCCACACCAATGACGAGGCACAACCACAAACCAGAAGCCAGACCACAGCTGCATCATTAGCCACTTTAAACCCCTCCAGTCCATACATGAAGTAAACTGACACCCTCCATGAAGAGGAGGCACAACCACGAACGCGAAGCCAAAAAATAGCACGGCAGCCAAAATCTTAAACCCCTCTGCAACTCAGACTAACCTGAGCACAACCAAACAGAACACTCCCCCAGCCAATCAGAGCACAGCCAAGCCCCTAACCATTCAGAACACACCTCCACCCAATCAGAACACCGCCAAGCTCCCACCCAATCAGTTCATACCCCCACTGGCAGTTAAAAGGAAGAAACAGCTAAGACCACACATTGCTGCTCAAAGCACAAAGCTGAAAACACCAG